CACCAATATTGTAGATTGTGGAAGTTCTGCCAATAATGGCACCAGTAGTACAGAGATACCAAAAAATATACCCTTTTACGCAACTGAAATTTATTTGGATGGTAATAATTTCCAGAAACTTGACCAACCATGTTTTTATTGGACGCAAAAACTTGCAAAAGTTGTATTTGAACTCGAGCAACGTCGAGGTGATTAGTAATGAAACTTTTGCTGGTTTACTCAACTTGCAAACTTTGGACTTGTCTAATAATAAACTACAAGTGTTTGAGGGTTTTGATTTGTTAACTTGGAACGCGTTAAAAGAACTATATTTACAAAATAATCAGTTAACCCATATTGATAACACAACTTTCAAGGGCTTGACCAGTCTGGAGGTTTTAAGACTGGATGGCAACAAATTAGTCAACTTCGTTACTTGACTTGAACATGAAAACCATGCAAAAAATTTGGCTAGGTTCAAACCAGTATGCATGCTGTTGCAAAAACTTGCAAAAAATCGCTAGTTTTGTCCAAAACAACCTGCTAAAAATCCAAGACTTATCCAATTTACACTGCGTTTCAGGTGGCGTCATCCAACGTTTAAACATCGAATCCGACAAAAACGTTTGCTCAGAATTCTACGTCAAAAACAATGAAATTTCACAAGACTACATCTACTTACTAGCCACTGTACTCATTCTATTCCTTCTAGTAATCTTCAGCATCCTACTATGCTTTGTTTTTAGAAAAAGTTTGAAAATCTGTCTGCACTCCAAATTGGTGTCACCTTATTCGACCAACCATTTGGTGTCACCTTATTCGACCAACCAGAATTCGAGAACTTGTTGTACGATTGTAATGATTTTGTACAGTGAAAAGGATTTGGAGTATTTGCAGAAGTATGTTTTGGTGAATTTGAAGGATAAGTTTAAGATTTGTTTGTTGCATCGTGTGATGGACAAGGTACAAGTGTCCAAGAGAATTCTGAGAACTCCAAACGCCTAGTTTTGATTTTAACGCGCAAACTTTTTGCAAACTGAGTGGATTTAAACCGAATTTGCGCCAGGTTTTTAGAAATTTAGCAATCCAAACGTCTGGTAGTATTAAAGACCAGGAAGAAAAACTACACAGGCATGACCTGGATGAAGACTTCAAACCCTTTTTGAAGACTGCTAAAGATGTGATATCCACTGATGATAAAAACTTTACAAAAACGCTTGCTGTACAATTTACCGAAAGTGGTAAGAATTTGCAGCAGCTGCAAAATCTGACAGCAACTACTTATACTTTAGAGAATAACACGACAACAGGTGCCATTAGGCAACAGAATTGTGTCAACGTAAACGCCAAGGCTGATATGTACGATTTTGAAAAACTACGAAGAAAACAATTACTCGTCTGCGACGACTTGTACACCTTCTCCAAAATTTGCCAAAAAGAAAAATGAGGAAGTTCCAGGAAAAGGAAAAAACTTACAAGCAACGTCCAAATTCCTCAAATGCCACTGAACACATCTACTCCAGCATAGACTCGGATTATTCCACCTTTAGAACGAAGAAATCTACGCCAAAATAACTTCGATCCAAATTTCG